CATTGCATAGCAGTGCCATCACTGAATTGTCTGAAGGAGTCTTATTTTAAACTGGTGAAAGCTTTTCAAATAGCTGCATTCCATGTACTTTATTAGGTTTTCATTCTAACAATGAGAACACAAATGGAGGCATCTTCTTAGATACATACGAAAAAGTGACTGACATGAGAGGATTTTACTGCAAGAAAAGATCTTTCAGGAAATTAATACACAGCAGCTGACAATTACAGTATTGCATATCAGGCTGACATCTCAGTCAGATGTCATCAAAACTCAAGACTTGGCTCAGCTCAGATACAATAAAAGCTGCTAAATTCAGGTAATAAATGTAGTATCACACTGTTCTATGAAACTAATATTTTTCTAAAAGATACCACCTAGCCAAACCACTTTCAGAGATATTTACAACCTGTGACATGGAAGTCTGGCAATACAAACATGATGAAAATCTTCTGTAACAAAATCAAAACTGTGGAAGAACTGGAGAGAGAGCATGTTTTTTTCACTTACTTTTCAAGTACAAGGGACAGGAAGTTCTACCAGCACAGCAGGCCCATAGGATGATCTAGCCAAACATCTCCCTTCAAGTATTCAAGTATTCAAGTAGATTCATTTTCAGAAAACATCAAATATATTTAATATGCACAAATTCAGCCTCCCTACTCCTTTTCCAGTGAAAATGAACAAACATACTATTCAGTGCACCAATGCAAATATGACAGGCAAGTCATAAATATGATAGACAAATTAGACCACGAAACTGGTTACAGTCAGAGAAGACAGCTATGGAGATCCATGGGCTAAATGCAAGATCAGTGACTCTGATTTTGTAACTGCTAACATACCCACACATAATTACTTACCTAAAGAACTTTAAGAGTTTGAAATATCAAGTGCATAATCACCATTGAGAAGCAATGAGAAGCACCTTGTTTAAGCATTTGTTAAATGCATATTTTTGCTATCGTTATATAATGTAATGACAATCTTATACCAAAATGACACAGCCCCTAAACATCATCTTCCTGCCAGAACAACCCTTCAGTTCTTCTACCTGACATGTAAGAAACACCTAGAAAAGAATTTAGTCTGAAGAAAAATTTTGTAGCTGAATTTGAACCAGAGTCTGCTCTTATTCCTAGTGCATTGCCTATCAAGGTGACTGGCAGCATCAAGGACCCCATGCTAGAAATATAGGGAAAGCAGAGCTAAGTCAGTGGACACAGTTAGAAGGAGAACCATTAAGACTTGCAGAATTCTGCAATGGAACAATTACAGCATAAAGAGGATGAATAAAAATTACAAAAAGTGATAATCTTTTTATTTAAGGTATGATAGTTTTCTTTAACTGTTACTTTGCTTAAACCAGCGCTTCAGGGGATGCTAGTAAACTTGCACTGATGAAGCTTGTAAAAGCAGCCATGACCTCCTGCCCAAAGGGAGGTCACTGAGGAGATGGATATCGAGGCTCTTCACCGTGGTACATGGCAGGAGGACAGAGGAGACAGGCATAAATTAAGACTAGACATAAGGGGGGAAAAAAAGGTCACTATGAGGATAATATAGCAGCAGAGCAGGTGGCCCAGAGAGGCTATGGAAAATCATGGAGGTTTTGAAGTCCCAACGGGACTAATCCTGAACAACCTGGTCTGTCCTCAAGGTTGCTCTGGGGTTTAGCAGGAGGATCTCCTGAGGGCCCTCTCAGCCTGAACTTCCAACTGTCAGCCTGTGAACTCTCCATAAGCGATCTATGTGCTATCCTTCCCACTGGAAGCTCTTCTTAATGCTTGATGTGAATCCTTTGCTCTGCAGTTTAAACCCATCAATTCCTGTTTTATTCAGCACACATATCCACCTTCCCTCTTTGCAACAATAAATTATGTATTTGAAGACTATTTCTGTGCCATTTTCAGGTCCATTTCAATGCTTTTCAGATGCTTAATATTTAAATGCAGCCTTTAAGTGCCACATTTCAATTTGTTTTAACTATTAGGCATGCGTAGGTGCCAGCTTTCCTGGATACCCAGAAGTGTGTTTACATGCAGCTTAGTATGGCAAGAGTACAATCAGTAGGCTTTTTTAATTCAATTTTTTGATTTTATTCTATTTCACTGATTTGTATTGTCAAATACAATTTCTGTCATCATCTCATACATAGTATCTGATTGTGCAAATTAACTTACACTTCCACTACTTCTGGGCTAAAATAGACATGGTTTTTTGACTCTTGCTTAATTGCTCACAGAAATTACTAAACCATAATTGGCACAGTAGCTCATTCTCTACACTTGCCTACCACTGCTCTTAGTTTGCACATTTGCAGCTTATAGTCCTGTTTATTCTCGGTGGAATAGCTTCCTGCCACCTTCCTCCAGTGTTATTTCTTGCTAGCTACCATTGATTTTTTTTTGTTGTTTTCTTCACTGAAGCTTCTTCCCTGTTCCTCTTTTCCTTGAAGGACCTTCCCCTCCATATAAGCACAGTCTGCAGTGCTTTCTGAGACTACTCCTCTTTCCATCCCTTGAATTTTGCTCTCACAGGGAAATCATTTTGCTGCAGTGCCTCAGGACAAACACCCTTATTTATCAGTCTTTGTTATGTTTAAGTAGGTCTCAGAAAGCCACAGTATCTACAGTGTAGAAGCAATGGAAGGGCCAAAGCTGCCGCCTGCCTGAAGCCAGCCTGGGCCAGCAGTGCCGTGACAGCTCTCCGTATCACCTCAGCATTGGTTATTTTGCCTAAGGTGTGACAGGTGTGTTGCAATCATGCAACATGTTACGTAAAAAGACAGATGTTTTGGCTTGCTTGGACATTAGAATTAGAATGGAATGGGTTGCCCTGAACACGGATAACAAGGCTAACAAGGACTTCAAAATCAGGGTATGCTTGAGCAAGAAAATGAAGACATTAGTGCAGCATGGATAGTCAAAGTTTCAAGCTAACTGGCACAGGCAGAAATAGCGCTGAAGATGTAGAAGCATAAAATTCAGTGTGGGCAAGTGACTGGGATAAGGTTAAGGGGGCTCCACTCACCTCTTTAGCTCTGCATCCTCCCTGCTATCTCTCCCTGTGTCATATAGATAAGAGGTTCCTTAAAGTTCTTCTCCTCACTGCAGTCACTTCTTCACCTGCAGAGTAGAAATACCTCGAGGATTCTCAGCTTCCTCATTCAGCAAGGTAAACCTGCAGGTTATTGTGGATTGTCTTCGCTGACAGGTCAAGTCACCTGTCCCCTAAGGCACTTGGACAAGAGAATGGTATTTTACTTACAGTATCCCCTCTTAAATCACCCATGTCCCTCAGAATAAGTATGGGTGCAGCAAATTTTGCAGTTTGTTCAATGGATACTAAGTATATAATGATTTACCTAGCTTTGGTCTGAAAAAATATGGTTATCATAGAGACTCTTGACCTTGCAGGGTTCATTTTTTTCAGTATTTATTTGCTTAAATATTACTGAACTTCAAAGTTTGTACCTAATGAACTGCCAGTGACAACAAAATAAATTTATCTTCACATTTATCTTAATTATTTCAAAAATAATTAAAGCTTTCAATCCTGAAAAAGCTTTATCTTTTTGTGATTTCATATGATTATGATGATCATATCTGTAGTCCTACTGTTTACAGATCTTTTTTGACAAATGCACCAAGCTTCAAGCTCACAGACTATACCGGTACACATATTTGCCTTTTATTCTGAGCATGATAATATGAGCCATTAATAAACATTGTGAAGATGCCTTTGCATCTCAAAAATGTGGGATATCTCTTTGGAAGATCATGTATTGCAAAATAAAAATGAGAATGAAAAAGCAGACTGAACATGAACAATCTCTGCTTACTAAAATGTACACTTTGAACTAGAAAGAAAATGAAAACACAGAAAAGTGGGGCATGCTCCCCCAAAGTTACAAAAACACTCCCAATCATTGCAAACAAAACTATAGCACTGTTATTGTAAGAGCAAAGCTATTAGTGCTGCTGTTGAAGAATCCACAGATTACTCACACACTTCACCTAGAAATGCTCTTCAGTTGCACAGGAGACAAATTCCCTTGTTATTGAAGGATAGCATGTTGAGAATGACTGGTTCTCAGACATGTGTCTATCAGTGTGCTTTGCTAACAGTTTGAGGAGACTCATTTTAGAGACCATAGAGTATCTCAGCCCTTGGCCTTGCTGAGGGGCCAGTTCCCCCCAGAAAAATAGGTGCAGCTTTTTATCCTTGGGGCATTAGCCCAGTAGGACGAATGATTAAAATAACAACATCAGTTTAAAATAAGGTGTGAAGTAACGCATCTATTATCAGTCCAGACTAGACTGAAATTCTAAACTTATTGTTGAAATAAATCATTCTATAACTCATAGCAAGTCATAGAGTCATGGAATCATAGAATGGTTATGACTGGAAAAGATCTTCAAGATCATCAAGTCCAATCATAAGCCCCTCATCACCCTTCCTGCTAAGCCATTTCCCTAAGCACCTCATCTACATGTTTCTTAAACACGATAGGGACGGTGACTCCGCCACTTCCCTGGGCAGCCTGTTCCAAGGCTTCGCCACTCTTCATGCAGAAATTCTTCCTAATGTCTAACGTGAGTCTCCACTGGTGCAACTTAAACCATGTCCTCTTGTCCTATCGATAGTTATTATGGAGAAGAGATCAACCTCTGCCTCACTATGACCTCCTTTCAGGTAGTTGTAAAGAGCGAAAAGGTGTCTCCTGAGCCTGCACTTCTCCCCAGCTCCCTCAGCTGCTCCATGTAAGATCAGTGCTCCAACCCCTTCATCAGCTTTATTGCCCTTCTCTGGACACACTCCAGCACCTCTAAGTCCTTCCTGTAGTGAGGGAGGTCTTCTGGAACTATCAAAACTGGGTTGGCATTACTTACATCATGTTCATTTTTCTTATTGGAAAAGTTAGCATTAAAGCTCATTCCTCCAGAGGAATCTGGATTAATATTGTTGTTTTTGTTTTTTGTTATTTTCTTTCCTAGATCTTTCCCTCTAGCTGACAGCATCAGACACACCAAGAAACATGCCTGAGCAAAGCAATGATTACAGGGTTGTTGTGTTTGGGGCTGGAGGAGTCGGCAAAAGTTCTTTGGTCTTGAGATTTGTGAAGGGCACTTTCAGAGAGAGCTATATCCCTACAATTGAAGACACCTATCGGCAAGTGATCAGCTGTGATAAGAGTATCTGCACTTTGCAGATCACCGACACTACTGGGAGCCATCAATTTCCAGCCATGCAACGTCTTTCTATTTCTAAAGGACATGCATTCATTTTGGTTTACTCAATCACCAGCCGACAGTCCTTGGAAGAACTCAAGCCCATCTATGAACAAATCTGTCAGATTAAAGGAGATGTAGAAAGCATTCCAATAATGCTAGTGGGGAATAAAAATGATGAGAACCAAAATCGAGAGGTGGACAGCAATGAAGGAGAAGCCATGGCCAAGAAATGGAAGTGCGCCTTTATGGAGACCTCTGCCAAACTGAACCATAATGTGAAAGAGTTATTCCAGGAGCTGCTAAACCTAGAGAAACGCAGGACTGTGAGTTTACAGATTGATGGCAAAAAAAGCAAGCAGCAGAAAAGGAAAGAGAAGCTGAAAGGCAAATGTGTGGTGATGTGAAATTGCATTGCCATGAGTCAGTCACACAGTCTCATCTATCTGACAAAAGCAGTGTAAAACCTATAGAAAACAGAGAACCATACAAGACCCTATTTATTAGCATCTGTTTTAAAAGAAGTATTTGGATTTTTTTTAAAAATGTGTTACTCTGGTTACTGGTAAAAAGCCAACAATTCAAACATCGTTTGCTCCCGTTACGAGTTTAAAAAATATCAAGCTATTAAAAACAAGATGAGCCAGGATACCTAGTTTTATAATTTAGAGAAGAAAACAATTTCCATCTTTACCATACTGTGGAAGATTCGGGAAGTCAACTTTATAATCTTCACGTTTGTATATAACTGCAATGGAAGGCCATGTATCTATATAACATACCTTTAGAAGAAAAAACAACAAATGCCCATGAAGAAATTGAGAGTGTATAAATGCATGCTGGATTAAGTTATCATATTCTTGAAGAATGCTGTGGACAAACAGTTCTGTACAGTTTTCAGTTTCAGTACTGACTGCTGGGGCATGTGAATAAAAAAGGCAAACTCTGGTCTGCCAAATAGATGGACTGTTTTGCCCTGAAGGGAAGAATGGGGGTAGCACAGTTAAAAGGATGTTCCCTCCACCTCCTGTGGCATGAGATGGCCTTCTAGTCTGATGCAGAGTGGAAGGATGGGGAAAACCATCCTCTTAGGATGAGCTGGAGATCATCTTGTTTTCTGGACTCATCACGTCAAGAATCACTTCTGGCCTCAAGATGTATCAGAACAGTAGCTGTTTGCCTTTGTCAGACTGTATACAAGTGAACTGAAAACTTCTCAGGGGGACAGACTGGGAAATCTCCTACAAAAGCCCCTATGGAAAACTCTGCTGATATGTACCCGGTGTGAGTACTGAATAACTGGAAGTGTGTTGAAGTGGTAGTGCTGTTGGAGAGCGGTCCGTGCAGTACACAAAGTTTTTATTCGAATGACCAAATTAGCCAAGTAACATTTCTTTACATTACTATATTTCAATTAAAGTAGTCTTGCATTCATGCTAAACAACTGGTACACAATTTATTACCTTTACATTGTCTGAGGGATTTTATATTTACCATCCAAACTCATGCTTTGAACTGCTGCAACTATTTATAGAACCAAATCCTTCGTCTTGAGTTAGGCCCACAAAGTTTCTATTGGAAGATTTGCTGAGATTACTACAGGATTTGGCACATTAAAAGTTGCAGTCAGAACTGTTTTACAATGCAATACAAGGTTCAGAATAGAAAACAACTGCTTCAGACTACTCTGTCAGGGGAAACTGCTCTTCTCAAAATCTTTGGAAGGGGAAAAATGCATTCAGTGTGAGCTTTTCTGGATCTTTCTCCAAACCTTTTTTAAAAAATTAGTATTAAATAGTTAAGTATGTATCTTACAGATGACAGCAAAACAAAGACGTTCAAAGACAAAAGAAGCACATACGTTTTTTAAAGGACACATCAAAATTGTATGAACTACAATTTGCACCTTAGGAACTGCTTTGAAATAAGAAAAACAAGACAAGTCACTGCATTTTGGAGAAACATGTATGTCAAAACCACTCTATGGGGAAATGCAGGCAAGTACTAGTATTATTAGCATGCATGGTGTTGCATTATAAATATCTTCTAAGAGCTGTTTAAAGGCAGTATTTACATTAAGAAAAATCTTACCTTGTTGCTCTCAAAGCTACTGCTTGTTTATGTTCCACCTTCCAAACAGAAATGGAGGTATTTCATGGATAACGACGAGCAGGATTCACTATTAGCACTCACAGAAAGGAGCACAAGTTATGCACTGCAGAAATGTTGGCACCACTAGAACCACATGCAGATCTCCAACTGACTGCAAAGAGGGTAGAATTTTGTGTGTTCACTTCACTGCATTGGAAGAGAAATTAAGGTTCTTCCTTAACAATAAATTCCTGGCTGGTACATGATGCTTTTTCCCCATCAGTCTCAAAGCATTTTACCCAAAGAATGGCTTTATTAGCTTAGCTTTACAGAAGGTGAAACTGAGGCACAAAACGTGGAACAACTTCCCTGAGTTTACTCAGCAACCCAGTGAGAGACCCAGGCCCAAAGCACCCAAAGCAAACCCAACCAAATCTCCCTGCGCCCTAGTCCAGCCCTCTGCCTGTGCTTGACCAAATTGCCTCTTCACATTCATAAATCATTTTTTAAAACACTTTAAGAAAACTGGTATAATTTACACAGCTGAGAGCTTTTTTTTTTTCCTTGGCAGTCTATTGATAGATCAAACAGTATTTTCAAATCAGGGATACAACACATTCAAAAACACTATGTTTAGTAAAACTTTTATACATGTTTGTACATTTAATCTGTTTGTAAGCAAACAGTCAAAGCTCCTCATTTTCACAGTTTTGGGTTCTGGTGACAAGACCAGAAATGTAAAAAACAACAAAAAAAGAATGAGCACACCTGGGAAGTAGGAATCATTTCCAGAGGTCAGAAGAGCGGGTGCCTGCAGCCAGTATGGATGGAGTGGTGTCCACGACCATGCATGGTAAACGTCGGCCAGCTTGGTGCAGCAGCCTGTAGTACAGATACAGAAAAGTCCTGGAGTAATGACACAGAAACTCCAAGCTAAAGGGCCCCAGAGAAGAAGATATCCTTAACATACTATTGCTTTAACAGTGGGACTCCTTATGCGATTAGGAATTTTGCAGAAGCAGGTTACAGGAGATCTGACCTGGATGCAAAGGTTACGACAATGACGTCCCAGACTGGCACTGGACCCTTGACTTGAGTTGACTGTTTCTGAGGGCAAGCAAGGCATAATTATGTGGCCAGGGTGGAAACAGAGCAAATAAACACCTGCTGTTAGGCTTACAGACCATTTCCTTCAATTCCCAGTCTATCCTTCTCCTGTTACATACTAAGCCATGAATTCTTTCATGGACTTGCATGTATCAAAGCAAGGCCAGTACAAAAGCAATATTACTCTTGGACCATAGACTCGAAAGAGAACATATCATATACCTTTGCATTGTCATTATAGTTTATACTACCGGATTTTACATATCTTACCTATGTGTGAGCTGGTTTAGACATTTGTTTTGCTATTACTTATACAATCTTTTTTTTTTTTTTTTAATACAGGAAAAAAGTTAGGTAAATAAAGAAAATATACAGCTTTGTTACATTTTGTGTTTTCTTTGGGAATGTGATATCTATATAGTAAACTCTTAAAAATGTACAGGATATCAACAGCTATTTAAAACATGTAAGACCTACAGTGAATTTTAGCACCTGCAGAACATGATCTGGGCAAACTGACTCTTCACAGCGCATGACTTTTATATATGTATATGAAGTGTTAAGATAACTAACTATATGTAAATGTGTTGCAATTTCATTAGCAAATACTTTATTCAGAAACTCTGGATATGAAGTCATTTATGCCTAAAAGTTTCTATGTTTCCAGTGATGTTCTGAACATAAAAAATAAAGTTTTAAATGCAAATATTTCTCTGATCTAAAATTTACCTTTGTTTTATTGTAGCAAGACTTCAAAGCAATCTGCCTTCTTCATCAAACCCAGATTTTGCTTCCTTTGGTCAAAAGAAAAAAAAAGAGTACATATACCATTATTCAGTTCTAAATAATGGCAGATTTGAACTTTGTGCTTATTGTAATATTGAAGTGTCCTATATAGATGCTGCTCTTTCTCTTCTTTTCTACTAAGCCCATAGTTTAATTTATGGATAATTTTGTGGGATTTCCAGAGACAAACAGCTACTGCCTATTATATTACTCCTAAAGTTTCAACCTAATATTTCAAAGCATATCCAGCATATTACCTTGACACTTTTTGTAATTCAGAAGAAGTGGTAATATTTGCTCAATTAAATAATAATTTCTATATATAAGCAATAATTTGCACACACTAGAGGAAGGGTTCAATAAGTACCCATCATTACTTAGGCATGCTCATTCAAACCATTTTTAAAACATTGAGTATTGAATAAAAAAATTAGATCACAATGAAGCAACTAGACATAGCAAGCAAGATAGGTTTTGATTTTTGGAACAGGACACTCAGAATTCTTAATAATATTACTGTTTTTTTTCCTGTTAATACACTGTCAAATACTGTGTATGTCACTATCTGTGACACAATCAGTCTTGTGTTGCTCCTGTCCTAATTCAAAGTACATATTTAATTCAAATTCAGTTCACTGTCATTTTAACTATGCCTCATTCACATCCTATGAATATTTTCCCACTGTGTTGAGTGTTTATTTAATATACCAGCTGGCATCTAAATTCCAACTCCAGAAAAGTTAGAATGAGAGGCAATGCATAGCTGGGTCATCTCTGAGCACATGAACCTGAATGCTTCCTTGTGATGGACTAAAATAAGCAGTGCAATATAGAGCTTAGGGAAAGCATCATGTCCCATCTGTTCCTGCAGTTTACTTTGGTCCAGCACTGCTTTTTATAATGAGTCATGGGGGACATATTGAGAAGTCAAAATGGAACCGAAGAAAAAATGAACATTTGTTCTTCAGTCAGACAGATTTACTCCCTGTTCAGATGCTAGAAGACATTCTGAAATGGATCCTGCAGACCCTGATACTCCAAAAGCTGTGGATGACATTATCTGCCAGCTGGAAGCTACCATTGTGCTTGCATTCATTTTAGTGGGAAAAGCAAGAAATCAAGAAGCAGAAGAGATGTTTTTCCGTGTGAAGGGCATGGCGATTTTTATTTTTCCATATGTAAAAGGAGAAGAGGAGGATCATTTGGAGGTGACTTGCAGGAGCATTATCTTTCAGAGTCCACAAGGAGAGAGCACAGGGTGCCCATCACTCCAGCATATGTCTATTTTACAACATCATTTACTTGGTGCTGTTTTAAAGATCATTTCTCTCTGGTACTTGCCTCTCTTACTTGGTCCAATCCTTAGCATACAAAGGGCCTATTTTTAACCTTAACTGGTTTATGTACTTTTAAAATCACAATGCACAGATACCATATATTTGGATGCATAAATTTAATTCCAAGTTTGACCTGCAGGAATTCCAGGCTCCTGACTATCTTCAGTACAACTGACCACTGTAAGGAAGAGGCAAAAGAAATATAATTCA